AATTTTTGTATTTATTGTTATTGTGTTTTAAATTCTGTATTTTACATTAATTACATCAAAAACATTTTATTATTAATATTATTGGTAGAAATAGAGACAGCATGAGCTTTAATTTATTTGCATTTATCCTTTATCCTATATTAAATTAATGGTGATCATTAGCAAAAGGGCTGTTTAGGAGAAATTAAATACACACAGTAATACCAGAAAATAAACTTATCTGCAATCATCTTGTTTTTTAACATAAGTGTAATTATTTTCTTCTATGTCTTGTTATAGTTTTAGTATTTTGTTCCTACATCTTGTAAAGTAAAAGGAATAAATACATAAAAACAAAGAGAGCATTTAAACTGTTCCACTGGTGTTTGTAGGTCTGCCTGCACACCTACTCAGACGAAATATTAGCAAGCAAAAATATAACATATAAAACTAAGCACTAGCAGGTAAAAGGACATGGTGAGAGGGCTCAGCATTATTTGTTTTATCAAAAAAAACAATGCGTTTAATAACTCTAGTATAACCAGAAGCAGATGAAAGTGAACCAGAACAGAGCACTGGTGGCTGGTTGAGCTCTTTAACATTTATCTTTGAAGCATAAATTGTAATCCTGAAGTGAAAAAAAATAAAAAAAAATTAAATTTCAGTATGAAGTTTAAAAACATGCTGGATTTGTCGATGGCCTCATTAATCACCATGGCGACCACTTTTAGTTTTACAGAGTCTATTTCTTTTTATCTTGTAGTTTCATGTGTTGTAATTACATGTTCATTATAGTAGGTTTCAAAATATACGAACTATATGTTTTAAAAAATGGAACCCTTATTGGATTTTGAGATCAGGGTTGGTGATGAACTTGGATTTTTATACTTGTTGCTTCCTTTCCATTAAAATCTCTAACTTTGAACTGGAAAATTTAAACTTTGGAGGGAATTTTGAACACCTAATTATAGCACATCATTATAACGAAGGATTTCACTGACATAGGCTGAAAATCGATGTACCTTTATATATATGGTATATTTGGTAAATATGTTTTGATGATACACTGTATTTATATAATAAGATTAAAATCCAATTAGTTAAACCTGGAGGCTGCAAAATTTACAATCCAAACAGCATTTTATTTTTTGCATTGTTGCTAAATTAAACTTTTTTAGAGCCATAAATGTGTAACGTGATGTTTTGAGACAAAGATTACTTGTTATTGTGGCTAAATATCTATTATGAAATTAATCACTTTTAGAGAACTACCCCATAATTTCTCTTTTGGAAATAAAGAAAAAACATGCATTTCACTAAAAGTGGATACGTGGATACCTTTTTTTTTTTCATTCAGTGGGTTACATTTTTTTAAAATGTAAAAAGAAAAGAAATATGACATAGTAGAGTGGAGTGGAAAATATCATAGTCATTGTGGTTTGGAATTTCAATGGGATTATTACCCAAAAACAAAACTGAAAAATATAATTTTAAGTTATATTTAAAAACATTTATTTGTTCTTTAAAGTTGTCGACCAAAGCTATTAGCAGCTATTCTAAAAGGATCACTGCTTTGGACGGTAGGTTGCAGCCTGCAGCATTAGACAAATAGGAAAGAAAATTATTGATGTGACTAGTTAGGGTGCTAGTTAGACAAAGCTTTTAAAGTTTTTATTTAAAAGTAAAAATTTAAGTCTATCCCTAAAAACATTTTAATTAAACAAAATAAAAAAGTTGATCAAAATAAACAGCTTAAGCATCACTAAAAATTGAATTGCATACATAAAAACTTCCTTTAAATTAATATAACTGCATCAACATGGTACTGACATGTGGATTCAATGTGAGGCTTCTTGCAAAAATAGATTTCTTGATAATTTCTCTACCTGTGGTCCTGAATTTCAGTCTGTGAGGGTCACCATCTTGTAAATTTTAGAAGTAATTATCAGCATTGATTTGTCTCCTCAGTTTTTATCTGCTTTTGCAGGATCCTGGTAGCGGCCCATGTGTTTAAATCAATGAAGCTGAAGCAGAGAAACACATACAGCAAGATATGCAAGACAGCAGATCTTGAAGCATAAAGCTCAGGACCACTTCATGCAATAAACTACCCAGTATGACCAATAGTTTACTATGCATTTGCAAACTTTTAGACAGTTTAGTGACTTCATTCTTCCACCTTAAGGGAATGACTGCAAGCTTGCTGCAGCATATGCCCATGCGTAGTTCCAGTATGATCCTCAAGATGGTGTTGTGAATCCCCTTTGCACATAACCCTGGTCTGCTCTCTGTCAAAGACTGCAAAATAAGTTGCTCTAGTCCGTTTGTGTAGAGCCCTGGTCATTCATTAAAGGAAGGGGCTGTTTAAAAAATAATCACAAGTAAGGAGTCATTAAACACTGAGTTTCTCCTGCAAATCCTAGTATTTCAGTTGGGTTACCATCATCTTGCTTCTTTTTCCCATAGAGTCCAAGAATGGCTCTTCCAAATGGCCAAATTATATGTTTGATCAGACTGTTTATGAAAACCTCTTGTTTGATGAACCCTCTGATACTTCACACTCTGGGGATGGTTGACCAAGATTATTTTCTACAAAGTTTCTGGCTTGTAAAAAAAATAATACCAGGATAAGAAAAATACATTTATAGAAAGTAATCCTCAATCTATATGATAATACATCCATATGTATTGATCTTATGTCCATAAGAACAAAAGTAACAAGGATAAAACCCAAAATTATATTATCTTTTGTCCTCTTTTAAATGAACAAAATGACATTGTTTTTTTAGAAAATCAAAAAGTTTCTTAAAATAATCAACGTATGACTTTAAGACAGGAAACCTATAAAACAAATGGGTGCAGGCAACTCTTGTATGGGCCTTTATATGAAAGGCCTCTTTAAGCAGAGGATGCAGTGCTGGCAATATTTAAAGCAGTCCTGGTAAAGAAGTTTAATAAGCCTTAATATACCGGTAAATAAATATTTTATTGCAGTTGTATAATCTCATTCAAATAAATGCGGAAAAATATGACCCTAAATATCACCACATTTGTGGGAGGAAAAAAGTCCCACATTAATAATAGTGCTTCTTAACAGAGCAGAGGCACAATTATCAGTTCCAGGACAGTCAGTTCTTTGTACAAACCCCCGATTTAGCAAAACACATACGAATTTGTGGAAAAAATGTAGCCAATAATTTAAGTACATTTATCCTGCAGTGAAAAATTAGAAGTAAAAAAAAAAAAAAAACATATCAAGTGCAGAAAAGGATACCATTAGCAGTTCTCTTAGATGCAAAAAGGACCCAAAGGATATTTATATACCAGGATTTTAACACAAAATTCTGATGGACTATTTTGAAGATAATAAAATTAAAACAGAACTGACTTATCAGACTGAAAAGCTAACCTTCTTCCTCGTCTTTTCCATTTTAGTCTCATGTAGGCATAAACATTGATAAATGTTAGAAGAAAATGTGTTGTCACCCAACAGACAGGACCATACAGAAAAATGGCCAAGGAAGCAATAATTTTAGCATTTCTAAATTCCTTAAAAAGCATTTATTTCCTACTGTGAGATTCTGTCCTGCTAATTAAAACCTTATTAGATGTTCTTCTGTGTAATATTTCTATTTTCATTTCCTTCATGGAAAGGTTTTTGCATAATTTTAATGCTGGTGCCATTAAAGGTGTCCATTCCAGTATACAGGAATCAAACATGGACTCCCTTCATTAAAAGAAAAAAAAAGAAACCCACTAAAACTTTTACAAATAGCATGTTTGCTCCTTGCACCAACTGTGAACACAGGCCTTCCCTATCAAATCAAATGTTTACTGAACTAATTTGGCCTTGTATATGTTTTTGAGGCATGGCCAAAGGACACAGCTGAACGTCCACAGAGACAAACCTCTCCCGCTTTGTTGTCCGCAAACAAGCATGGTTCCACATGCCTACGGCAGACGCTCGCAGACATGTACGTCAAAAGGCGGCGCTGCTGGTAGTAGTAAACATTCGAAAGGAACAGGGGTAATTCAGTTGATAAATGTCAACCGAAATGAAGCTATCAGCTGAAAGCAATTTCCTTGTGCTCTGCCTGTGTTGTGCGCCAGGGACTTTGGGAGATTTTTCACCCCTCCATCGATCATGAAGCCTCTGTTCTAGGCCAAGGTACACAATGCCCTCAAATTGCTGACATATGGACCAAGAATCACCACAAAAACCTGACATTTCCACCCCGCCCTCCTCTGTCCCAGCCCGTCCACTCCTCTGCTAAACTCTTGTTTATCCAGTGACTCTGGTCTGTTTGGACCATTAAAGAAAAGCCATAGACAGAGACACAGCTCTGGTGAGCAGGCATTAAAGCCTTGACCTAGAACTTGTGACACCAACCATGCAAAATAAGATCACTTTGAATTTTTTTATGCATCTATTTGAAGAAGCGAAAATGCATTGTCATAAAAACAATGTAATTAGCAGCTGTAAAATTGCTCCAATCATCAAGTGATTGTTGGGCTGCGAGATTAAGAGTGGGCAGACTGAAAATAAAGTCTGTCTGACTTGAGGGCTGCCTGTGACCAGTAGCGGATGGAGCAAAACAAATTATGATAAAGATGATGACACCAGCCACATAATGGTACAGAAAGCCTCCAGCTGTTATAAACAGCAGGCAGATTAAAGCAGAGCCTGAGGCAGTGCGTGTGTGTGTTTGTCACTGAGTAGGTTTTTTTTTTTTTTTTTTTTTTTTTTTTTTTTAGTCCAAGATTTCTTGTTACGGGTTTTATCAACTCCTGCAAACCTGTTTTTCTCAAATGAAGTTTTGAAAAGTGAAGCAATTTAAAGCCAAAGGAGGCCAAGTTCAGAACATTAAAAGCCTTTTTTCCTAATGGAAGATCACGGTGCCAGCAGCCGGGGCCCCTAGAAGGTCCCTGCACAGGAAAAGTCCATTATCACTCCTGCTAATGGAGCAGGAGGCGGACTTTAAACCAAAAAGTAAAGCAAATGAAAAGAAAACACGAGAGAACAAGATGACGCACATGCTTCAAAGCAGTGTTTCTTTAATGGGGTCCATCAATAATGTTTCTTTCCTGACTTTATTGTGTTTAAAATAGAGTAGCCATGTTATCAATCCTAGACATTGACAGAAATTAAAGGTCTTTTTTCCCCTCCCTCCTGATGTGCATTTATAACAGACTTAGAATCAATGTGAAACAAATGTTTGGCAACACGCTATTGGTATCTGCCTAAGTATCAAGAACAAACTGAGTCTCACTCTTGCCACCAAGACAAACCCGCAGCCAGTTTACATTCGGATGAGCGCGCTTGTTTTGTATAAACAGACAGCCCCTGTGGTAAGGAGTTTGATTAGGAGGAGGCCCACAAATCCCATTAAAAGGCCATTCGTCGCCTGTTGGATGTTTGTTTGAAGACAGGAAGAGTAACAAGGAAGAGGAGGGAGGTGACAGGCAGTCTGTTTTTGTTGTTGCCATTTTCGTGCCAGTTTCTGTTTACGCCCTTATGCAGCTGGATGAAGATATTACAGCACTGATGGGTACTCAACGGTGTGGTCAAGAAAAAAAACGGTTTAGTTTGTGCGTTCAACAGCCCAAAATGTGCTTCCGTTGAGGATCCAGAGGCATCATCTCCATCTCGTTCATGTCTCTGGCTGTGAAATATGTAACTGAAGACTTCTAGCTCTTTTGTTTTACAATCATCCCAAAAGCTCCTTGGTCTTGGCTGCAAGTTGTTTGTCGATGTCGGCGGCGATGTTGTCTGCCATCTGCTGAATCTACAAAAAAAAGGGATACTTAACTAAAAACTTGGTTTTGATCTATCTACGAAGTGACTAGTAGACTTTGTACCTGTTTTTCTACGAGTCGTATGGTGTCCTCAGAGTGTCCCTCTTTTGCCTTTTTCACCTGGGTGACAGCATTGGAGCGCACTTTTCTTAGAGAGTCTTTAGCCTTGTTGCTGAACTGCTTGGCCAACTTGGCAAGGTTCTCTCTGTGCTCCCGTGTCACTCTGCAGTAAAAGAAGAAAACAGTATCATGATGCTTAGGATTCACACCTAAGTAACAGCTCACAAGGTGCTAAAGATACCTTTAAAAATGAGAGATTTCTTCAACTCTGATATTTTATACACAAAGCATTGTGCCCTAGTCAGAATAATTAATTGAAAAAAAAAATCTAAAATATGGGTGATCTTTTTGTTGATTCCCTTATGTGTGGTGACGGTATTATAATTACATTGTATAATTCTAATTTTTAGTCCTCTCTAATGCAAAAAATTTCATTTGTAATCTGAACACCTCACAGCTTCATTCAGTTAACCAGCCCATGTGCAATTTGGAGGTGTGTGTTTTTATCGACAAATGGGAGCCTCACAAACAGGGAGCAAAGTGCCTGATCATGCAACATATCATCACTTCTAACTTGTCACATATTGAGGCTTGGTCAAGTCCTCTGTGCGTCACATACTGACGTGCAGGGGGTACCCCTCTCCTCAGAATTTGACGCGCAGATTAAATGACTGGTTTTGGACAACGTATCATGTGATCCGCGACAAAAAATATATATTTTTTTAGGTTTAGCCTACAAATTTACTTTCATAGCTTTAGAAGTGTATGGTAACATGGATACTACTGTTTTTTTTAGGTTTTGGGGTTAGGGTTAGGAGTATGTTTTTACTTCACAGCTTATGGAACATTTTTTGGGAGTTCCTGCCACAGCCTGTCATGAACCCAGCATTTCAGTTAATGGCGAGAGGGGTATCCCCATCGTGTCAGCATCAGACGCGTAGGTGACTTAACCAAGCCTCAATATGTGACAATTTTGGAGAGAGAATGAGTTGGATCATGACATTATACACTTTGGAGTAAGGATTGTGGATTTTTGTTTAAAATAAATTTACTGCAATCCCTTGGGTTGCTTTCAAAATACTGGCATAGTGCACAGCAGGCGTGTATAGAAACGACTAGATTGTAGCGCTCACCTCTCCAATGACAGTTTCTTGCCAGTGTTTACAAACCACACGTTAGGGATTAGCTGCTACCCTAACTGCCAGGCTCTTTTATGCCACGACAATAAAGTACCATCACCACCTCACCAGGTTTCGGCTCTATTCATGAGTGCACTGAGCTCATTGTGCAACCTAAAAAAAACCTTACTCAATTGCTTCAGAGACCATCCACATTTTAATGTTGTGGTGTAGTCCTAACCTGTTTTGAAGACTTTATTAACAAAAAAACACATTAATACTGAGAGAACACCACACCAAGTGTCCCAAACTGAGACTAGGTGGCTTCTCTCCTGCTATGACGCTCTACTTGTTTAGACGTGTAAATAATTTATCTGAGGCTTTCTAATTAGCTTAGAGGCAACGGATGTATACAATCCAGCATCTATATACAGACTGCTTTAACAAACATTTTTCAGAATAGGTTGCATTAGGATCTCTGAGAGTTTCAGAATGGTGCCATGATTTGATGCTACTTGCACAACAGGTTTAGTCATGCATTTTTCTCAACACTAAATATTCCAGTAAGGCCTTTAATGGTATTATGACAAAGAGGAAGTGAAAGGAATCAACAGCAACTCGTCCGCAAAGTGGTATGTCATGTAAAATCCCGGGGTGGCTAAATAGGTTTTGAGGCATATAGAACACAAAGGTCACAACTTTCCAGGGAGTAAACAGCTTCTCACCTCTAAACTTCATGCTGGAATTACCTTAAGAGCAGTGTGTAGAGAGCTTTATGAAATGGGTTTTTATAACCAAGCATCTGGAGCCAAGATTTAGATAAGTGTGCAAAGCACCGAAGCGGATGTGGTGGTGTAAGGATCATGGTCTCTTTAGTAAGGGATCATGCTTCTCTTTCTTGCAACTAAATGGACATTTCTAGGTTTGGCATAAGAACAGTAAAGTGTGAAGTTTAAAGTCAAGTAAGGACAAGCTGGGACCAGTTTAGTAGCAATAAATAGGTTCTCACCATTCCAAAATAATTGGACAGTATTATACTCAGGGCACATTTTAGCATTGTAAAAAAACAAAAAAACAAAACAAAAACTACTATGTATTTAATTCAATTCAATTCAATTCAGTTTATTTATATAGCGCCAAATTCACAACACATGTCATCTCAAGGCACTTTACAGTTCAACCAGATCAAATTGATACAAAGTTTTCTATCTAAGGAAAACCAGTTGATTGCATTGACTCATTGACTCAAATACAATCCCCCACACTAAGCATGCTTGTAGCGACAGTGGAGAGGAAAAACTCCCTTTTAACAGGAAGAAACCTCCAGCAGAACCAGGCTCAGTGTGAGCGGCCATCTGCCGAGGCCGACTGGGGTTCAAGGAGACAGAAGCAGAGATACAAAAAGCAGCTGTAAAAGGCGGCCCCGTCCAGGAAACACACAGCCAGGCAGACGAGCTCCAAGGCAGCTCCCATGCCAGAGGACGAAGAAAGCACATCCACTCAGTCACGGTCAGAGAAACAGGACCACACTGGAAACCAGGCCGATCTCCAACATCTATAAACAAGGGTGTTGATAGAAGCAGCACAGCTGATGTTTCTTTCCAGGATGACGTCACAGCCAAACAGGAACAGACGAGGCAAAGCTACTCTGAGGAAAAGCAGAGAGAGCAGAAGGTTAGAGATTGAACTAACAGATTCTGCAGAATAGGAGAACAGAGAGAGAATGAAGCAGAATGATGAAATGGGGGTCCCTATGTCCTCCAAAAGTCTAAGCCTATAGCAGCATAACTATAGAGATAGCTCAGGATAACCTGAGCCACTCTAACTATAAGCTTTATCAAAAAGGAAAGTTTTAAGCCTAGCCTTAAAAGTAGACAGGGTGTCTGCCTCACGGACTAAAACTGGTAGTTGGTTCCACAGGAGAGGAGCCTGATAACTAAAAGATCTGCCTCCCATTCTACTTTTAGAAATTCTAGGAACCACTAGTAAACTTGCAGATTGAGAGCGAAGTGCTCTGTTAGGAACATAAGGAACAATCAGATCTCTGATATAAGATGGAGCTTGGCCATTTAAGGCTTTATATGTGAGAAGGAGGATTTTAAATTCTATTCTTGATTTAACAGGAAGCCAATGAAGAGAAGCCAGGATAGGCGAGATATGATCTCTCTTTTTAATTTTCATTAGAACTCTGGCTGCAGCATTTTGGATCAGCTGAAGGCTTTTAACTACAGTTTGTGGACTTCCTGATAGTAAAGAATTACAATAGTCCAGCCTTGAAGTAACAAATGCATGGACTAGTTTCTCAGCATCACCCCTGGACAGGATATTTCTAATTTTTGCAATGTTCCTCAGATGAAAGAAGGAAATTCTAGAAACCTCTTTGATGTGGGATTTAAATGACAGGTCCTGATCAAAAACAACACCAAGATTTTTTACTTTATTATCTGAAATCAGTTTAATCCCATCCAAATGAAGTGACTGGCTAATCAGTTTCTTTTTCAGAGACTCTGGTCCAAAGACTATAACTTCTGTTTTGTCTGCATTCAGAAGCAGAAAGTTAAGAGTCATCCAGGTTTTTATGTCTTCAAGACATGCCTGTAATCTATGTAATGGGTTAGCTTCATCTGGATTTATAGACAGATATAGCTGGGTATCATCAGCATAACAGTGGAAATTAATCCCATGCTGTCTAATAATTCTACCAATTGGGAGCATGTATAAAGTAAAGAGAATTGGTCCTAGCACTGATCCCTGTGGTACTCCACAGGTAACCTTTGAGCGTGTTGAAGATCTATCATTAACATGAACAAACTGAATTCGATCAGATAGATAAGATTTAAACCAGTCTAGTGCTGTTCCTTTAATTCCAACAAAATATTCAAGTCTTTCTAAAAGAATATTATGGTCAACTGTATCAAATGCAGCACTAAGATCCAACAGGACGAGCACAGATACAAGTCCATTATCTGAGGCCATGAGAATATCATTAGTGACTTTCACCAGAGCTGTTTCAGTGCTATGATGAGCTCTAAAGCCAGACTGAAACTCTTCAAAAAGTTCATTATGGTGGAAGTGATCGCAAACTTGTTTGGCAACTACTTTCTCAAGAATTTTGGATAAGAAAGGAAGATTGGATATAGGTCTATAATTGACCAAGTCATCTGGGTCAAGAGACGGTTTCTTAAGCAGAGGTTTAATTACAGCAACCTTAAAAGCTTTAGGTACATATCCCTGTAACAGAGATAGATTAATCACATCTAAAATGGAGGAGGAGATCAAAGGGAATACCTCCTTAAATAACCTGGTTGGAACTGGATCTAACATACAAGTTGAAGGCTTAGATGAAGACAATAATTTTGCTAATTCAGAGAGTTCAACTGGATCAAAGCAGTCTAAACCCAGTTCAGATTCCATGACTACCTCAGGTACAATCGCGGATAGAGGAGTGCTTATGATCTTATTTTTAATAAGATCAATCTTATTTATAAAGAATCCCATAAAGTCATTGCTGCTAAGAGCAGGTGGAATGGACGGTTCAACAGAGCTATGGCTCTGGGTGAGTTTGGCAACTGTATTAAAAAGAAATCTAGGATTATTCTTATTCTCCTCTATTAATGAGGAGAAGTATGCTGCTCTTGCTTTACAAAGGGTCCTCTTATACAGCAGTAAACCATTTTTCCAGACTAGGAAGGACTCTCGCAGGCCTGTGGAGCGATATTTTCTCTCCAGTTTCCTAGCATTTTGCTTCAAAGTACGCAGCTCTGCATTAAACCAAGGAGCAAGCTTTCTATTTTTAACGGTTTTCATTTTCAAAGGAGCTGCGTTGTCTAAGGCAATACGCAGAGAACTAGCAACCCCATCAACAAAATCATCAACCTGTGAAGGGGAATAAGCTAAACTTTTGCACTCTGCAGCACTGCTCAGTGACACAGAGGAGAGAGAAAGTGAAGCAGATTCTTTAAAATTTATAACTGCACTATCTGATAAAGATCTACTAAAATTGAACCTTCTTTTGGGGGAGGAGAACTCTGTTAAAGTAATCCTGAAGGTTATTAGAAAGTGGTCAGAGAGGACAGGGTTGTGAGGAAATACTGTTATTTCTTCACATTCTATGCCGTATGTCAGCACAAGATCCAAAGTATGAAGATGAGAATGCGTGGGACTATTCACATTTTGAACAAAGCCAATAGTGTCTAAGATAGCATTAAAGGCTGCTCTTAAGCTATCGCCTTCAATGTCAGCATGGATGTTAAAATCTCCCACTATGATGACCCTGTCAGTATTTAATACCAAATCAGAAAGGAACTCTGAAAACTCATCTAAAAATTCAGAGTAAGGACCTGGTGGACGATACAAAGTTACAAAAAGAAGAGGTTTTCTTGCCTTGAAATTTGGATCAGGGAAATTAAGGGTTAAATGTTCAAAAGAGTTGTAGGTATTAACTGTTTTGGGAGTAATCAGTAAGTCAGACTGGAAGATTGTTGCTACTCCTCCTCCTCGCCCAGAACTTCTGGGGATGTGAAAATTTAAATAGCTTGAAGGAGTTGCCTCATTTATGCTCACATAATCCTCTTGCTGCAGCCAGGTTTCTGTAAGGCAAAACAAGTCAATGTGATTATCACAAATCAAGTCATTAACTAGTAGACTTTTAGAGGAAAGCGATCTTATGTTAAACAGACCGCATTTAATTGTTTTAACTTTTTCCCCAATTTATTTACTATTTGTCTTTTTTCTTCTCTTCTCTAAAAATCTCTTTTCTTTTTAGCATCTTTGCAAACGTAGCACACTTCTATTTATCTTGTTTTTTCACTTTTTCATAATGGAAGGGGACATTCTTCGGGACCATTGGCGGCTCTCCAAGGCAGCGGCCAAAAGCAGCTCCTCTCGACAATTTCACAAGACGATACAAACTAGACATCAAACCCACATCTATGATCGCCAACGCCTGCTGGAGCTACGGTCACAACATGTTTTAAATACTGACATTTCTGACCGTTTAAAAAGCTGCAGAGTGCTACAGACGGACGTAAAAAAAAAAAAAACAACAGCGGGAAAAAAAACGGACAGAGGAAGAGATGCACGAGATGGAGAAAGCGAGGCTGCAGAGGGGGGCTAACTGGGAAGCTAAAGAGTAATCCCCGCAGACCTCCGCTTCCATCAATCCTGCTCTTCAACGTCTGCTTGTTGGAAACAAAATGGATAATCTCCGACTGGAACTCTCTTCAAAAAAGGATTTATGTAACTGCTGCAACATCATTCTGACGGGGTCTTGGCTGCGTCCAGCAGTACCGGACGGTGCTGTTGGCCTGGGGGGGCTGATGCTGTACCGCACTGAGAGAAACAAAGAGCTCTGCTTAAATGGAGGCTCCTCTGAGACTGTTCCCAGGCAATCGTCAGCATATAGGGAGGAAGCACAGCCCTCTGCAGGTGAAAATGAGGAGAGCACTCTAGATGCTTCCCTGCCAAATGCTGAAATATCCCCAGCCGGCTCCTCCCGGCCCCCTCCGGCTTCCACACTTTCACCGGCATCGTCAGTCGCTGCTAAACCTGCCGATGGCACCACTGCTGCTTTACCCACGTCAGCCTCTTCAACCCAGGGGGCTACCACCCTCACAGCATCGTCATCATTGTCCTCTTCTTCCCCTGAGCCAGGAGAAGCGAGTGCTTCAGGAGCTGGAGGCAGTAGTAGCAGCTTAACAACAACTGCTGCTGAACTTATCAAGGCTGCACTTTAAAAAATGAAATTGTCCAGAGAGCCGTTCTAAATAAAATGAATCTAAGTCTAAGTAATAGCACTCCATAATATGTAAAATAGTCCTGGCTTATGTGTTTACCTGTATGCAAGTGCAAACGACTCAGCATGGCTCAGTATCTGAGACAGAGTGTGAAGCCCGGGCACATGAGATTGGAAAACCCTAAACTGTCAGTGTAATGACCGGTTGCACTGAGATACACTGACATGAACCCTGATATCTGGGGTGGTCTTTTCCAAAAATGAAAAACGTCCACAAAGACATGGATGAGCCAGTGTGGATGAACTTGATCGGCCCTGAAAAGGCCCTGAGCTTAATGCAAAATAAGGCCACTGGGATAAATTCAACTTTGAGCCATACATTCTCATCCAACGTTACTGTCGAACTGTATAAATATCTACTGAAGGAGATTTCTATGAATGTTCTCCTAAACCTTGTGGAAAGCCTGTCCAGAAAAACAGGCATCATATTAAACACATACATCAAAGCCCCCTCTGTACTAAAATATTATTCTATGTATGATATTGGATGTTTATGAAAAATTAAAATGAAACTTCTCATCTCTTTTAATAACCAAGTACCTAAAGTCTGATTTAAAACATGTTCTTCCTAAAGTTGCCTATTGCTTAAGAGAACACAATCTGATCACTTGAGTTTAGGATCTTTTTAAGTCGGATCAAGTAAAAAATAAATAAATAAATAAATAAATAAAAACACAGTTAAATGGCAGAAAAATAATAACTGTAAGTCCGAAAGAAAACTTCTCAAGAAAGCCTAAAGTACTACTGAATGCCAAAAAGTGAGAAGATCAGCAAAACTATTTTTGCATTTCTTTGCATCAAACACAACTACAACTTTACCTGATTACAGTATTGCTGAGCACAAGAAAATAAATTTGAAATGTAAATGCACAAAATTATATCTTCAGCTTGGCCAAATGGGTATACTTAGTGCTTGTTAGCCTCCGACTTAAAACCTTGTAGTTCTGACTCAGTGCTTTGAACTACAATCACTTTGAGGACATAAAGCCAAGTTGGGGAAAAAATAAAAAACCCAAAACAATCCTCCCAACAAGTTTACACCCACTTTGCATTTGTTACTCAGAGAATTACTGCTTCCCGTTACACTCTGCTTTTCTTGCTCTTAATTGGCTTTTTCGTCTTGTTTTTGCTGCGGGAACAATTTTGCAAACAATCCGAGTGCCGCGTCTATTTACTGCAAACAATGCAGCCTAATTACCGATTCCAGGGCCAATCAAGAAGCGCCCTCTCTTTGGAAATGCAAATGGAGACTCGGAGCGTGCCGGGACTGATTGCAGGGGGAAAAGCAGACCGACTCTTGTGTCCCTCCTCTGCCAGACTAACACCTGCTGCTCCACGTGCACACTATCGCACATGCACATAAACACAGGCGGCATGCGGACTCACGTGCACATTGTGTATATGTAAAAACCGTAGTCTTTACAGAGAGAGAACAGTTTTTTGAGTGAGTGACGGATTGTTTTGTGTGAGGTTTTTTTATTTGGCAGCGGACAAAATAAAAGGGCGAGAGACATTAAGCCACAATGGAGAAAGGAAGAGGCTGACCTGACAATCAAATGAACACACTGAGGTTCACTTAAAACCCCAGAAAAATCAACAAACCTGTCAGCTGCAGTAAAGATTATATATTTATTTATCAAAAGACATGAAACAAAAAGCATGAAAGATACAATGGGAGAATTCGCTGTAATATTTGCATATAAGAAGATGTTTCATGGGAAGTAAATTGCAGAACTTTGCACAAAAAAATAGAAAAGCATGGGAAAGAAAACACAAAAATGACAAAGGAAAAACAAAAGTGAACAGAAGATGGAAAAGAAGGAAAAGTGGTAAGTGCAGGAAAGGCTTTCTGGCCTCTGGCGTATTTGTGTGTCAGAAGGGGGACTCACTTGGGAACGGGCACCTTGATGATCGTCCCGTCCACCTCTGGGTTTAGGTTCATGCTGCTCTCTCTCAGGGCGCGGGTGGCCGCCGCTGTAGCCTGAGGCAGGAGGCAGAAACACACACATAAAAAAACAACTTCAGCGCTGGTGCGAAAGGAAAAGCAGAGCTGCGGCTGCAGGTAGTCACTGCGCTCCAGCTGGTAATCATTAAGGTGGTGTTGCAGTGTGTGTGTGTGTGTGCCAGGGGAATCCGTGCAGCGTGGAAGTGCCCTGGGCCACTGTCAGCGCCGGGCCTCATGGGACCGGACTGAGAGGTTGCAGGGGCACAGAGTTGACCTCTGACAACCCCACAGGAGAGTCTGCCTGCGCTGGCGTTTGATACATGAACACAAACATGTGTTTCAGCTCCTCTGCATTCAATAAATAATGTTTGGAGAGTTCGAAATAATGATGATTAGTCAAACTATATTAAAACACATATAGAAAGAAGATACGTTATAATTCAGAACTAGATTTAAACCTTTTAAAATATAATGACTTCTTATAAGATTAAAACACATCCTACAGGTTAGAGGGATTATTATTAGAGCTACAGGATATGGAGAAAGCATCAAATATTAGAGTGACAACATTGATTCTTTTAACCAATCATTTTCTCACTGCTCTCTGTATTTTCTCTCATCTCAAAGTCCTCCTAACACTTTAGGACCTTGATCACAAAGATCTAAATCAGGTGTGGGAATAAAAACAACAATAACAGTCCCTCCTAAATGGATGAATATATTATTTTCAATCATGGTATTAATTCACGGCATTTTAAACATTATAACCTTCTAAATATGATATCAAAATCATCCTTAAAAGTTGTTATATAGCCTATGTTGGCATTACAATTATTTCAACAGGTGCAAAATGAAAGGACAGTTAGCTTGGCTTATTATAAGAAGATTAAATTTTACAAAACTTGACATTTGCTGATTTAGAGGTTTAGCTGGTTTCTTATCACACTGTCACATTTATTTGTGTTATATCAGTCTTCATCTGCATTTGACCTCACCTTCTTGAGGGTGATTTTATTCCCCCACACATAAAAATAAAGTTTTATATCTGTTTTTTAATCAATTGTATCATTAAAAAAAGTTTTTAACTTTCTAAATGTTGTTTACATATTCCTTTATAGATATATGGATCTTTCTTATCCATTTATTTTATATCCCTGCTGTGATATTGTAATTTTTCCTTGCAAGAGGAACATTAATATTAATTATAAATACAAAGGCTGTTTAATTTAAAACAACATTTGACTCTCTACGCTGATGATGTTTTACTTTCTTTCTAAAATTCTTAACCATTTATCTCAAAAAGCACCAAACCCATCAATTGTTCAAAGGCAACGGATTATTCCTCTAACCGGGATTCATCCCTAACAGCCCCAAAGTTCAGACCACCAAATTATTTGATTACAGACCGGAAACATTAAATTTATGGGTAATAATATTTCTACAATCCTAAAACACGTAAAACTGTTAAACCATAACCTGCTTAAATTTATGTGGATCTCGTATACGTTTATAGTAAAAAAAAAAAAAAAAAATAATAATATATATATATATTATATATAAATATATACTTTACTTAAGCAGAAAAAGAAAACGTATTTAAGGTCCAGTATTCTAAGGACAGGCAATGAGACCAATATCTACATCACACCAACAAGTTCAGGTCTGAACTGAAATAGAAAAAAATTAAATTTTTTGAACAGTCTAGTAAAAGTGTGGACTTGAACTTTAAGAATGTCATTAACGCTTAAAAACACCGAACTGGGCTAAATCATAATAAGCTACAGCTACAGTATGGTATGCATATGCACATGGGACAGGAAGCTATTTTTTCAGCTGCATAACAATTCCCTTACCTGACCTTCTAAAAGCATGCAAAAGTGTGATACAAAGAAATTTAAGCCATTCAATTTCCTCCCACCACCCGCTACCCCACTCTCTGCCTTTGACGGCTCCTTCTGGACTTTTCCACTGGGGGGAAAGAAATGGCAGCAAGATTAAAGGAATTTATTTGTGAGTATTAAATAAATTCATGAGGTTTCTTTTCCTTTGTTAAAGTCATCCGGAAAGCAGGCCTTCCAGTTGCTTTCTGAGTGCCGGGTGATAGATTCATCCCATACCTATGTTTGATTGTTCTCAGCATCGAATTCATCACAGCTTCCTCTCTCAGATGAGCACTGCAGTGGTTAGCCCCCCGCCAAAAAAAAAAGAAAAAAAGAGTGTAATTCCTCTGAAAAAGGAAAGAAAAAATGCTGGGTAGGTTCTGGTTAATGTGTTGCGAATGAAGAGAAATTACGGTGAGGTTTTGCATCAAACGCTCTCAGCCCACTTCAAAGGTAGCAGCCGAATAGAGAAGAATGTGATCGAGAGGCTATGTCTATCTTAGGACACTTAAGGAGCACAACATTAAGATTCCTAAACATAGGCATGCAAACACTAAACTGCTGCATTTCCACGTTAGTTACACCGTTTTTCCAGGGTGCTCATGATGAATGTATAAAAAACAATGGCAGAGATCCTGCAGTGGCAGGTAATGGATAGCTGTCATTATAAACCTATTCCGCCTTGGTACTGAGGACTCACCTCTGCACCGGACATGGGTAACATGGGTCCTGACAGGGCGGGGTGTAAAAGCAAGAGTGGGTGTCTGTCTGAGCATGTGTGGTCTGTGCTTAATGGGAAATTAGAAAAATACAAAAAAAAATGAAGAGTAACTTTTATCCCATTTCAGCTTTAAGAATATAACACTATTCTCACAGTCTAGATCATCTCTGCCGCTCGGTCCTCTTCCGAGCCATCTTCTCCTTAGATCATTCCAGTTCTTCTAAAAGATTTCGGTCTGAGATGGCCAAAACATTTTCATTTTTTTAAGTTGATTTTAAAAAGTATCTCAGAAAAAGAGGCCTATGTTTAAAGAATTTCTTGTCGCTATGCGGCGACTTATCAGGATAAAGTCATATGATCATTTTGCTCTTTGTGTTTCTCATCTTGAGGAGCAGCTAAGAGAAATGAGCCACACTGCTACTGTATCTAAACCGCAGGGAATGAAGAAGTCATAAATGACTTATACGATCAATCGTTAATTAATTTATATTTATTGTTAATTGTTTTTTTTTATGCTTTCTTTATTATAATTAATAAATGTACTGATATTAGAGACTGGATACTTCAGTGTGGGAATTACCATAGCAAAAAAAGATACATTTATTCAAAGCTTAAAGTTGTTAAAAGATCACAAGACTCCTTCAATATTTCAACTTATCTTACTGAAAGACAATAATCAGTATAAAAACTTCTGAAATAACTGTTCTGAAATATAAATCAAAGGTTAGAGCATTAATAAGATCGGTAAAATGATGGGTTTCACATTGAAGTATTGTGTGATCACCCATCTCCCAACATTTTTATTTTATTTTTTAACTCTAGTGGGCTTTATTTTATTATTTTTGAAGGTAGGAAGAAAGGAAAGGGGATTAGAGAGAGGGAGAACCCGTGCTGCAAAAGTCAACAGGCTGAGACTTGAACTTGAGGACAGAGGCCTCTGCGCTCTTAACACCTGCACAACCACCACTGCATACTGATCTCTCAAAATGAAGGAAATTGCAGCCGATCGATTGGCCTGCTGGTCAATTGGTGCACCCCTACTTTTAACCAGAGAAGCCTGTAGTTATGAGGCATAAACCTTAATTAAGCGTTAATGTGACAGGATCTTTGCAAAGATGCATCTTGAGGGACTGTCACAGGGCATTTCTGTTCAGTGTTTTCTTTAACATTAGTGATATCTTATAAAAAACTAAAACTGAGCTTGAACAGGAAGCTAAACAGACATAAAACACATTGTTTGACACTCCTATATATTATAGACATGATCTAATAATGTCGAGTTGAATGCAAATTCTTGCATCAAAGCGTCTGGACACCTCTGACCCCTTCAAACCAAATCTACAAAGAAATTGAAGAAGTTAAAAGAAATGGAACGGGAAAAAAAAAGAAAAATAATCAATTTCTTCCTAACCCAGGGGTAAAATGAGGTCATTTCCTATCTGGGACAACTCACAAGTAGACATAAGCATACTACAGTGCACGCTAACCCCTCTTTGCTATCTTTCACCTTCAGAACAAAGAGCTCCTTGAGTGATCAATCAATTAGCATCTGAGACTTAGGGCGCAGAGAGAGACTGGTCAGGTTTCATTTACACACAGAGTGATGTGGGGTTCCAGTTCTGGTCTGGCTCACTTTTCCCTCACCGAAGACCATCTATCTGTCTCTGCTTTGGCTTATTTTTACAAAGCTTATTTATTCAGTGCTTGTCCAGAATGAGACAAACAGATACAGGTAGGAAGAAACTGCAAGGGACTGAATGTGTGTGTGTGTGTGATCGTCTTACTTCAGGGAAGCTGCTCATGTTGACCATAATGAGTTGAGGTGACTTCATGGAGATCTGACCCAGCTGGTTCAGAGGAAACTTCCCATCTTGAGTCGTCACCACAATGTGATCCAGAGCCCCTAAATAAATACAGACCAGAGGAGGTGTTTTATTTCTTTATTTATCCACAGAAAACCCAGACGCCGCATTGGTTGCAGCAATGCACAAGATATGCACTCTAAAAATGTTGCAAATGGTGGAAACTGTGAAAATTTCACACAAATTATTCCTGTAACACTTTTTAGGCAACACAAGATTTATAAATATTCAAGAATTTATTTATTTTTATTTTTTTAAGCACAGGTTTGGCGTTATATACAGAGATGGCGCTCTATTGTTGTTGGTCTCCATTCAGTGCGGTAACATTCTTTGGCTTGATATTTAATGCAGAAACTGAATGAATGAAAACAGAATCAATCCTTTAGTTTCTCAGCCTCACAAACAGAAACACAAAAGAATTTACAGCAGAAGCCACAAATAACAGATGTAAAAATGAAGCCTACTGTCAAACTGTTAAAAGTTTCCATGATCTTTTGTCTCCCCTTACAGTCACCAGCGATAGAAACAAGAGTTTTGCCAACACAAGCTGACTCCTGACCCACCCTCTCTTCATCCCTTTTTTTTTTTTTGCTTCCTTGCTCCATCCATCCTTCCCCCTCCTCCATCATGCTAACCTCAGACGCAGTTGTTTCCTTCTCCTCCACCTCTGCCTTACATCATCCCCTCCCTTTTCTCCCCCCCAGGGGGGGGCTCTGCTGGTGCTGTGTGCGGGGAAGTGGGGTGACGGTGAGGTGAGCCAGTGGTGTAATTTTCTCTATAGAATCAATTTATCTTTTGATTTCGAGGACAAAAAAAAAAAAAGATATACTAATCAGAGAGTCAATGTGTGTAAAATGTATTAAGAAAAACATATGTGATCAACTGAATATTGCCCGGATAACGCAGACATTATTCTAGTTTGATGTTGAATGTAAGGTTGTCCAGATGTTTAAATTCAAAGGGCAGGCACTTTAATTTTTTTTCTAACTTTCCTCTGCGACAATATAAAATGACCTCCTACATATGAACCTGCAGCAGACAACTATATTTGTGCCTTAATGTTACAGTAATAGATTTTAGTTTTAGAGCTTTAGGTCATTTTATATTTGAAATCAGGCATCTGTCTACCAATTAGAAATTTAAATTCCATGAATCCATGAATAATCCTACCTTCTACATCAGATGATGCTCTATTAGCAACAGATACTGTATTTTATCTGAACTGGAACTGCTGCTGGACTGTCTTATGTTTCTAAACATATCCATCTTTAATCATAAATCGACTTTCTGCTCACTATTTTTATGTTGCCAAAGAAATAGGCTAACAGTATGTGCTAGCACAACTCAATTATTTGGCTTGTAACATTTTGAGAAGAAGATATTTCACTACTTTAATGCTATATTCTTCAATAAACTCACTACTTACTACTGGCAATGCAAACAATGTGAGTGCTAGACTAACATTAGCAAACTTGGGTTCTATGTTTTGATATAACTTGTTGATCATTTGAATCAAAGTGATGTTAAAAATATGTTACCCTGCTTTGCCAATTAAAAAAAATTACTTGAGTTATTAAAACATTTATCTATTCTAACAACAAGTGTTTTGTTTGAGCTATCTCTCCTTCACTTAAATCGTTTGTTACAAGAGAAAGACAGACAAGGTTCTTTTTTTTGGCCTTGTTGTAAAATCGAAGAAAAAAAAAAATACTTTTAGCTGATCAGCCATAATAATACCCATAATAGCCATAATAATATCATGATAAAAAGGGAGAGAAAGAGAATTTTAATCTCAAGTGCTGCCAAATATGTTTTTTTTTTTTTAAAGCACTATTATTCTTTTCACACATATTGGGGTGTAAAGTTATTTGTATCATTCAGGTAGTCTTAAAAATAATGATGTTAATGTGGAATGCATTTTTATAGACAGACACTGAAAAAGAAAAAATGTGTCTCTATTCAAAGCTCACTTCTTCCTATTTTTCTCTTAGGAACTAGAAGCTTTTACATAGTCTAATAAAGTGGGTTATAGTAATAGATAATAGATTTGATATTTAGAGGCATTTTCTGATTTCTTACTTTTAGATAAAAGTTTTTTTAAGCTATTACATTTGTGATTCTTGAATTATTCAGGCATTATGAAGTAATGAAACAAAGCTAATGCCTAACATAATAGATGATTCAGCTTATACATGTTCTGTTTTTCTTTAAGATGGACTCAAACTACACTGTTTTTACCGACCAGAATAAATGTAGGTATAGAATTATGCTGGTGAAGATCAGTCGTTAGGTCATAGTCATTCCAAACAATCCATTGGAAATTGTTGAACTTTCCAAGTATAAAGACGTTTCACTTACCATTCAGGAAGCTTTTTCAATTGGGAATGAAAAAGGAAACAAACTTGGAAACAAAGTCCAGTGGATTTTTTTTTTTACTTTTTTGGAAAAGGCTTAAGTACTTAAAATAAATTATAAGGGAAAAAAACAAAAGAATGAAATTTTTCATACTAAGCTATCACTCTGGTACTGCTGACTCCTGCAACAACAAAACAATTTAGGATTTAGCCCCAAAACAAATGACCTATAAGTTCTTTGTTTACATAGAAACAAAGCTAGTTTCCAAGCTGTAATACCCATACTTAATCAGCACAATATGGTGAACAAGTTGCCGATCTCCCTACATTTCCTGTGTCTCGTATCCCTGTGACTTCCTGTTATATGTCTGACGCACAAACAGGTCTATATGAGTACGGATTCATAGCAACACACAGCAGAAGATACAGTGATATCCAAACACAATCTCCCACTTGTAGGTTTAATAAGACCCAGATGAGAGTCTCATAGACCAAAACCACATACAGTTGTATGAGACATGCACACTCTCGGACAACTGACGTCATTTGATTCCACCGTCTCATGTCTGCTGTCAGATCCAAGTCCTGCTGCCTCCCTGGATTATTGTGCAGCAGGACAGAGGAGGGATGCATAGACATTTAGAGGAGAGCAGGGATGGAAGTCTGATGGAGGGAGAGGACAGAGCAAAGGGATTCATCTAAAATAGATGAATAAGACTGTAGAAGGAAGGGAGCTGGAAATGAAGAAGGACAGAGAGGTAATGCTAAAGTGGTAGAGCTTCTTTAGGGATATAGAATGTGTGACATTTTCTTTTTTACCAGTAAATAGAGTAAAATTTGCACATAAGCAGCAACCACATCTTTCACATTTTAGTTGTTTAAGAAAACAAATGACCCTCGTAAATCTAAACACCTTTGTTTATTGATGAGGTTAAATGGGGAACACCGTTTTTATAGATTGGCCCCTTGATTTTACATTTATTACATTATGTTCTACTCAACCATATTAGTTTGGTGTCATTTGGAGCCGTTCCGAAGATATTCGGTTTTGTCATATCCAAGTAACGTCTTCCTATGGGCAACGATTTGAAGGTACAAACTAAACTGTTCATAATTTATTCTTTATGGTACGCCAACATTCATAACATGTAGGCGAATCACTGTCCCCCAGACATCCGCGGTTATATTTTTTATATTTATATTTTTTTAAAACAAAGCGGAGTGTGTATGACGTTGCATGGGCTCAGGCCAAATATTGAAATATAATATTATTAATCTGAAATTCTCCAATAAATCAACCAAAGATTGCACTCATCTAAAACTATTGCAATAAGGAATCTTTTTAGCGATCTGCACAGGACATTCAGAAATAAAAATTTTTTTTTTTTTTCCCCTTATTCATATATAGAAGGGCTGTAAGAAGTTTCAGTCTGTGAAAAATATCAACTAAGATGATATAATTTAATGCATTTTTCCAATCCAGAAAAATTGGATACAGGTTAGGTACCTATGCTAATATGCCTTATTGAAAAAACAAACAAAAAAACATATGTGCTACAGTCCAAAAACTGTTTAAAACCGTAATCTGGGAATCAAGTTAGCTAGAGATCAGACCATTTCTTGTAGTATAGACAGGATAACAGTATGTGAGTGTTTCACTTTCAATTGTTTAAATTAAAGTAAATTTCTAAAGTTTTCCATACATTAAAATGGAGAAAATGATGGAGTATCCAGTATACACCACAGTGTTGCCCCTCCTCCACTTGTTGCTTTGCACTGTTGGATAACTGAAAGAAGGTGAATGCCTTTTCTCCCTTGCTTACAGGCGAGACAGTTTTTTGAAAATTATTTCTGTTTCAAAGAACACAGACATTAATGTAGAAACTAAAGCTGGCAAACTAATCAGTTATTATGGTAACACCATTATAAAAACACAGCTGGACAATCTGCTATGTCTGTTATGAAGCTAAACCTTCTAAGAAGTCGATATGAGGAGGTCAAAATTCCAGGGTTACCTTATAAGAGCAGGAAAGCAACAATTTTGATTGCAAGAAGCACACTTACAGGAAAACCTAATTTACCATGGATTATTCAAAGTTTTTACCGGAAACTACAGATTAGAATTATAATAAAGAATTTTTAGGGATTCATTTTTTGATCAAAATATTGTTATGGTGGATTATCCTGTCTGCTGTAGGAATGAATGTTACTCTTCATTTTAGCAAACTGAACAAATTTGATTATTTTAAACATTTCATCTTAAGTATCTAAAATAATATCTGTTAAGTACGTATCTAACACTGTGTAGTCAATCTACATTCCCATGCATAATCTCCAGTGTTAAAAAAGAAACCCCAAACAGCCAACTGATGAATCGGGGGATGGGTGGATTAGTAAAACATAAGACAAGTCAGGAAACCACAGGATCATAATAATGTAGGCTTATTTCAAGCTGAATTCAATAAGCTAAATTCTCCAATATGCTTTTATACTTTATACTTATAAAACCTAAAATTAAGAATGTGAAGATTTTCTTTTAACAATTTAAATTTCAATATTTTAAATCATCATTCTCAAGGGAAATTTGTCCAGGCTGGAGACATTTCAGATACTGTACGTCCAAAGTCCTCATAGTCATGGAAAAATACTCATACATGTCTGAAGTCCTGTTGGTCTGGTTGGGAATTAAATGTGTAACAGAAAACCAAGAAGGAAGTAATTCTCTAGTTTTAAGAAAGACTTTGATTGCAGAGTCCATCTATGGCAGCCTCTATTAAACACTCCACTCCTGCAGTCTGTTAGAACCCAGAAACAAAGGGTCACGGCCTGGATGTAGTTTGGGAAACAAAGGCCAAAGCCAGGTCAAACTAACGTCACACATGGATCTCCTCATATTAAGCCCCGCGGGGCTTTGTGAGCTACATGGAAACACAAGACAGGCTTGTATCTGAAAGTAAAAATTTGTGTTCCCTATTACTTTTTATTTGTCTCGGCATACAGACAAGCCACCTGAGTCATCAGATGTGAATGCAGAGGCCACACACATACATATATAATTAAGGGTATAATGGAAGATTTTTGCAAATTTTTTAAAAGACTCGCCCTCTCCACTTTAAAAAAAAACTGTGCACATGCACAACCCTGTACCGACTCCAGAGAGGGAACGCCTATTAAACGCTTGCGAGAGCCCATTTCTCCTCGTGCACTCTCTGTTTAAGTTGCTGTTTGCATCGCTCATACAAACTTACTTTCCATAAGAAGATTTGCAATTTTTCCACCATGTCAGACTCACCACTGGTAAGTGAAAATAGGGACGAGCACGTAGGACGGCCTTACGTAAACATATCACCAGAATGATTGACAATTAGGACGACCACTTTGATGATCCATCCTGAAAAAGAACATCCTCCACTATACCTTTAAATCAATTGGTGATGCATCACTGTGGTTTTTACCGGCCCATATTCAGTTCTGTTTAACCTTAAAGTTTGACCTAGTGATTTCACTTTTCTCCTTAATGCCTATAAAAAAAAGAAGTTGATCTATGTTCCATTTAGTTTTATTAAGAGATTAAAATTCACAAACTTTTAACAACGTTTGTATTGAATCCAAATGAAAATTAAGACATTTCTAAATGATTTCCAGATGTGCTTAACTTTTCCGAATTTTTTTACCATATATGAACAAAAAATGGGTCGAATGAATGTGCTGTGTCTTTGGTTTCTTTGTTCCTTTGGAGCAAAAATACTGTTTTAATTTTTCTTTTTCTTTTAATAAACAGGATCAAATTCTCTTTCATTTCTGATCTGTCAATCTACAGTCATAATTGAATAAAACACCTGCTTTATCGGTGCACCTCCACTATACCTTTAATAAACCCAGGATCATAGCAAGTTACGTTGCTTATTAAAAGATTAAGAGATTACAGCAGCAATATCAAGTAGTTTTCCTTTAATTTAAGTGATTTTTTCCGCTTACAAAGAAAAACAAAAATTTTGTTCATGAGCTGTGTAGCATGCTATATATGAGTCCTGTTTTGGTCAGGGTGAGGGTGCTGCCCTGAAAGAACCAGGACATTATAGCGAAAGCATTTCATGATTAATATCCAGAAATAAGAAAGCTTAATAAAATATCACTAGTCAATGAACAAATCTGACTTAAATCTATACCTATTTATCTATTTTTTTTTTACATCTGTCCTTTTCATTTCGCCAATAGCTGTCAAATATGCCGCTTTAAGACGCTTTCAGGATGCTGATTTAATATGATTCATTAAATTACATAATCTTTCCCAATCACCACTGGATGCTCTAAATGTAGCACAAATATCCAGAAGCTGTGAGATCTCCTTTAGCTTCTCACATCTAGGTGCTAGATGTGGTGCTTTACACTAGGTGCTTTACCTTTTTGCTTCATCAATTAGCTACTTGAATTTAGCAGGAAAATAAAAGTCACACGGAGTATTGTGCTGCGCAGGGAACAGGTGCGTCTTCAGCTGTGTGCATGTTGGATGACAGGGCTTTTGAAAAATGTTGAGTTTTAATGTTCTGAAAGCTTAGACTGATAAAAAATGTAGGCTTTATTATAATTATACATATTCTTCTTCCTATTAGAGGATTTATTCACCTGTAGCAGTTTTTGATGCATATAAAGACATTTTCTGAACTTTTTTAAATGACACTGATGTTTTATTAAACCTGTTCATCCAAATAAAACTCTTAAATGCATTGCTTTTTTAGTATATAACAAACTTCATAGTGATATATGAAGCTGAGGGAACATTGGTAACAAGGCCTCATAGATGTACTGTACTACATTAAAAACAGAACATGGCTTTAGCGCATCATGAACTGAAACTAACTCTACTTGTGCAGGTCTGAGGCTCTCTTTAAATTTCAAAACGGGATTTGCATGCAACTATTTTTCCTTTGGGGAGAAATCCTGCTTCATTTTGCTATAAAGTTGCTCCCTGGAGAAAAAAAAGAGTGAAGCAAACAGGAAATGTGTGAGGAGGTCCAAGAGACATAAGCCAACTACCTAGCGAGGTTCGGATGCTGAGGTTGCGTGTGAACTCATCTTTAAGTGCACCGAGAACTGCAGTCATGTCCTCCTTCACTTCATCCAAACTGATGATGTCTTCCACCAGGGCTGAATTAATATTCACCTTAGCTGACTGGCCCCTTGCCTTGGCTTAGAAGATGAAAAAGGAGAAAATAAAACTCAGATATAAGACAAATAGCATCTAATCAACAAGCTAACATCAGAGCCAGGGGAAGTGAAGATGTTGCACAAATCAGAGCTTCAGTGTCTGTACTGACCTTTAGCCTTCTTGGTGGCGTAGAGCCTGATGCATGCGGGAGCAGGGTGCAGACAGGTGCCAAGACATGTTGGTGGTCTGACACCGATCCATGAGGTGACTGTGAGGGGGGGCCTGGCATGCCGAGCCAGGGACTGACAGAGAAGAGGACGCAGCAGGTTCAGGTGATTCAAAGCCATGACTGCAAACACATTAAAAATGGAGGGTTTTTGATTAAAAAAAAAGAAACAAACTTGACATATAGATTGCACACATCATAAATAATTTATATATCATTTGATAGTTGCACTGAATATATTCATCAAAATGAGGTAATAGCTCATGTTAGCCAGCAGGAGGTAGGCCAACATCTTCCAACTTCACACAGTATAAAAGACTCTTCTTTAATCTATAAACTTATGATAATTAGCTACAGAGTTAAACTCACTTAAAAATAACCTTAGCATTAACATTTCTGAATTATATTAAAATAAAATATGGCTCAAGTTAAGACTGTAATTAATTTTCATTTAGTTAAAAAAAGCATTCCTAAATAAGCAAACAGCTTAACCAGGATATGGAAAAGTCTTAGCACATCCTGTACAAACAAGGGGCTCTCTAAATAAAAAAAACCCCTACATTAGATACAAGTTTGGCAAAAGATGTAGATTGTTTTGCATTGAGGTAATTTGTTTGTTTCCTTGTGATTCGATGAAGTGTCTCAAAAAAAAGAACTCGTCATATTAGCAGACAGTTTCGTAAAATGGTTTAAAAGGCACCCAGTTTGTTCCTTGGAGCCTATATGTAGCTCAACGTTCATAATGTGTGCATTTTAATAGTGATAAAGAAAAAACTAAATGTGACCAGTAAAAAGGTTAAAAGAAAAGAGTCAAAAGATTAGTGCATGAATTAGTTTATTGTTGTTTTCTATTCATAAGGCATTGCATAACTAATTATTTTAATTATTAATTATTGGGCATTATTTTGGTTGAATTCTAAGGAACAGTATATTTAATTCCAATGTATTTCCCCCCAACAACTTATGTCACAAAATAGAAAAATATGCAGCATGTCCTTTCAGGAAATATTTTTTAATGCAGCAGAGAATTGAGGAATCAGAACATTTAACTTTATGTAGGGACCAATGCATTAGTATTTGACCTGCATTTTGAACCGTTATTTTAATAAAGATGCATCAACATGTCTGCTGCTGGTTGGTGCCTTCATAGACTTAAACATAATCAAAGTTATTTTGATGCATTAAATCAACGGGAAAAAACTAATCAAAGATCAGAGACGATCAAGGTAAAATTGTCGTTTTCTGATCACTGGTGCACCTCTACTTTTTTAATTCCATACTTGCTAATTTATAAAGAAATAAATAAGTCAAGATAGTTTACAAAATCCATTAATCAGAAAGGACAAATAAAATCATGCAGTTTAAAGATAGGTACATTTTTTACATAATTAAACTAACTAAAACACGGTTAATTACAATGTTCTTAATTAGAAAAAAATTGAAAAATAAAAAACCAGAGTAGAAAATGTGTCTAAAACGGCTGATTCTGCGTATAATCTCACAAACAACAGCATCAGCTTTATATGCAGTTATAGACCTTTCTGTGTTGTCTTCTAACACTGATAAACCTACAAAGATGCAAGTTTCCAAAAGCCACTGTGCACTCCTAAACAGGAACACAACAATGTGACTCCATGCTCTGCATTTCTATAGATGAATCGGAGCTCACCTTGCAGCCGGCCTCTTGACTGTGAACTCTGTCACTGACCCGCTTCCCGCACATGCAAACAAAAACCCACTCTACAACATATATAAGCCCACACAGACACAAGCACACAGTAAAGCCTGTCTTTCAAAATCAGTGGCTGTAACCTCTTGTGGAGCGCTGCTCCCTGACTGGCATCTCCTATTATCTGGGGAACACTGGATGAGGAACATGCCATCGGTTCTGCACTAAAAATGTTCACCCACAGAGATCTTTACAGTGTTGCTACTCCAGTGTAATTCACACACATTTCTGATGGTTTGAATTCCAGCAAAGAAGTCAAAAAAGTAATAACAGTAAATAATCACTGAAAACATCTCCTGTCTTATATAAAATACTAATGTATCCTCATGCTAAGCTAGAATCCTGACTCTAATCTTTGCTGTCAATTCAAGAAACCATATTTAGGCTAGACAGCGGACCACCGATTCTGTAACAGGCAGCTGAAACTGGGAGGTTTCCTCACAAGGCGATATGATTCGCCACACAGTGGCGGAGCTGACAGGCAGAGATGTGGGAAGGTGACAGATCTCCTTACAGAATAAGTCAGGCGAACAAAGTGAAGTCCAGGTGTTCAATGGGATACTGTAGTCTCATATCCTGTAGGTTTCACAACCAGCTGCAGCCACGCCCCTGCTTCTTCATCCAACAGTGAGGAGCCAGCTGGTCAGCCCGCATGCTCTCACTGTTTGCTTTGGAAAGGAACACTAAAGAGTATCTGATAATGTTCTGCATCGCTCTGCCTCCTCAAACAAATTTCCTACTGGGAAAGGGTGGGAAAGTCAATAAAGTAGAAGAATGAGAATGAAAAAAATGATTTTGGATTTCTGCTCCGGAAAGTGACAACCTGTTATTTAAGGCTGCAACTAACGATTATTTTTTAAAATCGATTAATCTGTCGGCTATTTTCTTGATTAATCATTTAATAATCATAGCAAAAGATTCCTTAAAGAAGACTTTTTGCAAAATTAAACCAGGTGAAAATAAAGCTTTTTTCACTTGAGGAGTGCTGAATAGAGCTTATTGACATACTAATTTTTTATTTTTTTTAATCTTAAATGCAAAATGTTTCCTCGTTTTTTTTTGTGTTTTTTTTATAATGTTGATATAACTGCTGCTCAAAGTGGGTTTCTCTGTCAACTAAAGTCACATTTTAGATCCTCTACACTCCACTTAACAATTGATCAATTACTAAATTAGTTAACGATTATTTCAATAATCGATTAATCCGATTAAATGTTTTAGCCCTACTGTTATTACTTATTTCCAAGTAACTCTAAAATGTCAGTATGTACTACTTTGTTTAAAAAAAATAAAAAATACAACCATCAGTGTGTGAGTGTGTGTGTGAATGGGTGAATGACTGAATGTAGTGTAAAGAGCTTTGGTCAAGTCTCCTGACTCCTGACGCTATATAAGTATACATTTACCATTTATCATTTATCAGACCTTTGACATGTTGTTTAATTAATAAGCAATTATAAATCTAATTTAAAAAAAGGCTGAAGAAATCTATAAATGATTGTTAGTCCTTAAACCAGTCTCAAATATAAGGAATAAAGCTATGAAAATGTGGGGTAGTAGTACATTGGTATTCTTCCCATTTTAATCCAATCAACCTTTAGTTTCAGTTTAATTTATCATATCTAACTTTAACCATTACTAGTACATACCTCACCCTTAACTTAAACCTAAATTTCATCTGATCTTAGTCTCAAATCTAAGCAAACAAAGTAAAGAGAAGTAAAATCTTCTCACTTTACATCAAAGTCCTCAATTTAGTGGTAAAATGCGCCTGAAATGTCCTCACTTGGAAGCAGGTACAAGTACACACACACACAAACACACATACATAGACAGTCAACCTAAAGCTACAGTTTTGGGGTAACCAGACAACCTAACTTATCTCTCTAGCTGGCCAGAAAAAAAAATACAATCATGTATTTGGTTCTGATCTTTTTAACTGTGGATAAAACTTCCCAGCACGTGACAAAGTGCTGAACAACACCACTCACCATAAACACAACAAATAGACCCTGAGCCCCCAATAATGAAGGATGCGCATTTATGAACGGTGTTTTTGGAGTGATTTTTAAAAAATCACCAATACAAAAAAAAAAAAAAAAAAAAAAAAAATCTGTTGTATTAAAAATAACAAGAGAAATCAGTGAAACCTTACACAGTGAAATATGAAACTATCAAAATATTAGAGGCTTATTTTTCTGTATTATAAAGAGTTAACTAAAGCTTGCTGAAGGTCGAGTAAATATCGTGAGTGAGCTAAAAAAGTCAACGCAAAAAAAAGTTATTAAACAAATATATGCTGTTCCTGTAACAAAAATATAACGCGTAGCTTTAAATTGCACACAATGCTTCACTTACTTATTCGGGGTCAGGCTTTATAGAAGAAGCATGTTAGCTAAAGGAAACCCTGCAGTTGACGACTTTTTCGTCATCAACGAAAGGAGCTGTCAGAGTCGAGTGTGCTCGATTTAATTTACGGCTGGCACCGAGATGGTGGGGTAACACTTGTGGCGTTCAGAGCGCGTCTTGTATTCGGGAGGTGCCAAACATTAAACCAACTGCCTCCTTTTGACTCGTCTGGCGTTCACAAAACTGCGTCATCATCCTGCGCCTTTGTTGTCAGGCTGTATCTGAGCGGATGTATTTTTTTCTCAGAGTACAAAAACTCAGCTATTTAGGTGGAAAGTTGTCGTCTGAGATGATTTCAGAGACGTTTTGATGTCATTGAATCATCCCAAAAGAGGGATTAGTGGGAACGTTAAAACTCAGGTCTCCTTATTCAAGAGGAACAAACAAAGGTAACAGCAGAGCAGCTAGTAGAAACATCCTGCTACTCGTTTGAAACGTGCTTTTTACTCAGTTCCTAGCAAAGTTTGGGCTAGTATGTTTATTACATGCTAAACAGTGAGCTAATTTATTGCGGAATAATAATGAATAGGTTATCTTGCTGAGTTTTAACGGCACAAGCAACGCTTATTACAGGTAAACCTCACCCGTACGAATAAAATATAGGAATATTGGTACTCTTACATTTTTATAGATCAAATTAAATGTTTTTGTGTTAGTAAGCATTCTGTTTCAAGTTCTGTTTAACCTTGAAGTTTGACCTAGGGATTTAACTTTTCTCCTTAATTCCTATAAAAAAAAAAAGTTGATCTATGTTCCATTTACTTTTATTAAGAGATTAAAATTCACAAACGTTTAACAACGTTTGTATTGAATCCCAATGAAAATTAAGAAATTTCTAAATGATTTCCAGATATGCTTAACTTTTCCTAATTTTTTTTTTTTACCATAGATTAACAAAAAATGGGTCGAATGAATGTGCTGTGTCTTTGGTTTGTTTGTTCCTTTGGAGCAAAAAATAGAGTTTTCAGTTTTTTTTTTCTTTTAATAAACAGGATCAAATTCTCTTTCATGTCTGATCTGTCAATTTACAGTCACAATCGAATAAAACACCTGCTTTATCGGTGCATCTTTTTTTTTTTTGAATTTCATTGGATCTAAAAACATAAAGACCTTAGTTAAAATATTTAAGTATATATATTTTTTTATTAAATTCTTTTGATTGCTAAGCTTGTCATATTATATCTTTTAATCATTATTTATAGTTCTGTGGTACTGATACGATTTTTAGTGGATAAATATGTTTTTCTGTTTTGTCTGTTGGCGTCCCTTGTTTTTATACTAACAAAACAAAAACAACAAAAAAACAATGCGTATATTAATAAAGCTGTCATATCCAAACATTTATTATAGGTTGGGATACTTTATAGGTGGAGAATATAGGAATTTAGGGACTCTTACATTTTTATAGATTATATTAAATGTTTTTGTGTTAGTAAGCATTAGGCGATGTGCATTTGGTAACAACAAATGATAACAGGGTAATCTACCACTCTTAATCTACCACTCCACCCACTTTATAGGTGGAGTGGTAGATTAATAGTCTTAAATAAGAACATATGATCTAAAATTGAAAGCATTTAAATTTCATTCATCTCAGTATCGGTGTCTTTAATTTCACATTTACCGAGGGATGTTTTGATTAAATATTTTGTGTGTTGCCATATTTCTAAGCTCATCTATTCATGATGTGCATGCTAATAATGTATTGAATAACTTTGATGGACCAAAGCTATTAGATTAATAAGGAGGACATTGCTGAATTCAAGAATGACCAGCATCTTTATTATTGTTTGAAAAATCCAACAATAATATTGTAATAACATGTTTACTACCATCACAAACTGCTAAAATAAATTGTAAACATTTTTTGATATGTTATTGAACACGAAAATCCCAATAAGGAACAAGAAAAGAGGAAGAAAAGGGACAGGAGAAGTTGGGGAGAGGCTTACTTGATAACTGGTTCGTTGTTGTTTTAGATGGCAGACCATCTTGACCAATTCTGTAAAATGTATCTTGATTTAGCAGAGAAAACATTATTTTCCATTATATACATTTCACCCACAGCAGCAAGCCATTCTTCCACTTTTTAGACCATTTTTTTGTGACAGTCTTTTTTTACTTTCTGCCATAATGGGACCAAACAATTTTCTATTACTTCTATCCAACTCTGTTCTACATCACCAATATACATAATAGTGCATTTAATCTCCAAAGGCATATTCTATATGGTTTTGTATTTCCTCCCACAATCATCCAATGACATGGCCACCCCAAATGTGCTCATGCATGGTTTCACAGAGCCTCTAGCACAAACCTCCATGGCCTAGGTGTCTTTTCTGAATCGTTGTGATAATGATCTTTCAATGTTCTTCCAACAGAACTTCTGACATGCATTTGATGCTGTAAAGGTCCACTGAAGTTGGCATATGTTTCCCCAAGTTTCAGTTAGGATCAGTTATTTTTCTTCATCCTCTAATTTCTTCTTGGTGTAGTCTGTATTCTTTCACTTTGAGAGCATTTGAGGTTTCCGTTGTACACTCTAGAAATAGCTTTATTACAGGAAATATTGTTTCTAGTATCAACTTGAGTACATTTACTTATCAAGTTAATTTGATAGTCAGTCTACAAGTTTAACTTGTTTTAAATATTTGAAAAGGAAAAAAATAAAGTCCTTTATTAAAAATATGCAGCTTTGATATTTTTGCTACCCCTGAATCAATTTCCATTGATTCAGGGGTTTCATTAACGGTATTATCTGATTATTACCAGCTTTTAAAGTTATTTTAAGGCATAAGTGCATGAAACTATAATGGAAAGATTTATGAAAATCTAAATACAATCCTGACCAAAAAAGAGAACCCAAACATCTCCATGTATATAATGCATATGTAAACTGCAAATGTTTCTGGCAACTTTCCTTTAATCTTGTTTCCACAGGGTACACATGTCGTCTGCAGCAGAGACGGTGGAAAATGCCTCCATCATTGCAGAGAGCGCGGCGCATGATGGAAACCGCCTGTGGATTGGCAACATCGATCCTAAAATCACAGAGTGAGTAAATCAGAAAAGCGTTCAGCTTCTTCTGTTCATCCACTATTACTATTGGTTTTATTCTTAAACCTCATAACGGTGTTACCTTTACGTATCTTTATAGAACTATATCTCTAATATGAAGTGAAAAAATCTGATTGCAAGCTTTTACAGGATATATTTTATGCAGTTTCTAAAAAAAAAAAAGAAGAATGAGTTTATGGTGTGAACCTGGGAGTTTGGTTTTGACATGTATGGCTATACCACATAGGATGCAACATATTGTAGGTACATGTATGATTAATTGGCTGTGTTTGTTGTGTGTGAGCTGGTGTGTGTCAAGGACTGAAACAGAGCAGGCGAGCCTGGGTGTGTGAAAGAGATGCAGTGAGGCGCGGAGACCTGCTCTGCTAAGGAGCAGCCATCATTCCTCACTCACCTGCCCTGTTTACTCTCTCTGTGTCAACCTGAAGGTGTGTGTGTCTGTGTGGGAGGGTGTTTAAATCCACAGTAGAAGTCTGGGTGGCGGTTTGTAGAGGTGCAGGCTTCAACGCATACAAGAGCCTGAACATCATTAACCCGCCTCACTTTGTTATTTGCACTTGCATGCATCTTTTCGTGCTGTTGAAAGTCTGATTGATAAACATATTCTGGAAATGGTTTTTAGGGTGAGGGGTGTTTTATTAGGCCTGTATGGGGGTGCTGCTGGAGAATGTACGGGACCAGGTTCTGGTGGGTGTCTAGACAGGCGTTTCCTTCCCCTTAACATGCTTTGCTCTGCTCTGCTTCTCCTTAAGTAGTCCAGTGCTCGGCCGTATGGAGGGAAAACAGGAGAAATGCATGTGGCCCCTGTTGCTGATTGGGAAGATTAATTAGCTCCAGGATAAAACATGCAGGACTCGTTTGGTTTGTTCTGCAAAACCTAACTTGGTTCAGAGGGTAGAACGGGAGAATAGTCACTGAGCACCCTGCACCCTTGGGAAGTTTCAAATCAGTAGTGAATAAACTTTGTTCATTATTTGGTTCAGCTAATAAAAATAAACTCAAAACAAAACAGATGTTTTCTTTAAGGTTTATTAAAACATCAAACCTCTGTTGAAAGTTTTGTGGAGTAAATTAGTTATTTTCATTTGTCTGAGATGCATTTTTTTCCATGTTCTTTATGAAATAAACAGGTTAACATTCGAAAAATTCAAACCACCTTAACAACCTTTATATAGTAAAATCAAGTTCTGCCGGAAACTAGTAGTTTTAAATGAATCAATTAATTTAATAATTAATTCCCTTGGGGATTCATAAAGTGTTTTTGAATTGAATTAAAATGAATTTAATATAATTTCTGGTATTTTATTTTACAGGTGCTGGTCATAAAATTAGAATATCATGAAAAAGTAGATTGATTTCAGTAATTCCATTTAAAAAGTGAAACTTGTATATTATATTCATACATTACATACAAACTCATATATTTCAGATGTTTATTTTGTTTAATTTTGATGATTACAAATGACAACAAATGAAAATCTCAAATTCATCATATCAGAAAATTAGAATATTGTGAAAAGGTTCAAAATTGATGGCCCCTGGTGCCACACTCTAATCAGCTAATTAACTCAAACCACCTGCAAAAGCCTTTAAATGGTCTTTCAGTCTAGTTCTATAGGCTACACAATCATGGGGAAGACTGCTGACTTGACAGTTGTCCAAAAGACGACCATCGACACCTTGCACAAGGAGGGCAAGACACAAAAGGTCATCGCTAAAGAGGCTGGCTGTTCACAGAGCTCAGTGTCCAAGCACATTAATAGAGAGGCGAAGGGAAGGAAAAGATGTGGTCGAAAAAAGTGTACAAGCAAGAGAGATAACCGCACCCTGGAGAGGATTGTGAAACAAAACCCATTCAAAAATGTGGGGGAGATTCACAAAGAGTGGACTGCAGCTGGAGTGAGTGCTTCAAGAACCACCACACACAGACGTATGAAAGACATGGGTTTCTGCTGTCGCATTCCTTGTGTCAAGCCACTCTTGAACCACAGACAGCGTCAGAAGCGTCTTGCCT